CAGGAGTGCGAAGTGGAGCACTAGTAGTTATATCTTTTGAATTGCGACATCATAAAATTGATAAATATCGACTTCATCCGAATACGGTGCCAAGAAGACCTACCAGTGAGAATGGGCAAGTAGCGTGAGGTTATTGAAGGGAGACAAAGAATAACAGACCAGCTAGCCAAACGTTATGAATGTCATTTTCAAGAAAAATGATGCGGAGAAGAGAAACTAGTTCTGATTCAAATGGGAATCGGAAATACACCGTCTGGGAGGATTGACAACCAGATCTGGAAAAGAAAAGAAACAAGCATGATGGCGCCATATGCTCGTGGTATTCGGTACACCGCTCGTATTCGGAATCACAAGGTACCAGGTCATCAAAAGTGATATCACAGAAAACACGCAAGTGGTATAAAGAAAAGGCAGAAATTGGCTGCAAATGGTAGAGCAGGAGAGAGTAATCGACAGTGTGGTTTTGTATCCAGATGAGCAACTGCAAATGCTGCTCATCCCGATCCCGGGTCTCTCAACGAGTGATTCCGGGACGGAGACAAATAATTCGCTCCGTCTGCGAGATTCAAACAGTTCAGTGCGCGAGGAAGACATCACACAAGGGTGTCCCAACCAATGGCGATTGTCGAGAACCTGTAAAGAGCAGAAAGAGAAAGAAATGAATACATTTGCCAAGAAAGGAAATTGCAAGTCAAATGAACACTTGATAGCTTATCACACTTCAAACCACCAAAGGACGCAAGTAAGCGGATCGATGTGTGCGCCGGAACCTCAGGTCGTCTCCCAACGAGACAAGAAACCGAATGACTGTTCAAAGGCACGAATCAAATCTGCAAACTCCAACTTCCTACCGTGTTCGGCGGCCGTCATGGGAAGGACCCATTCGCCCACTGTAAATCTTTTGCATCGGCGACGCGGAGATACCGTTGCGGTTCAGACGGCTGGTCCTCCAACGCTCATACCAAACAACGCGACTGGCTTCACGGAGTTCGGTGCGCCAATCGGTGAAAACAGAGTCCTTGAGCTTCACAAAATCGCAGTGTGCGGGGTCGTACGGGTTAGCGAAACCCCAGGGAAATTTGCGACCAACTGGCTCGTCCCCAGCTTCGAGGGAGTGAGGGTCCGGGGATAGAATTGAGAACGGAAGATGTTGAGAGGCGGCTTGAGATCCTGAAGACTGAATTGTCTGTTCGCTTCGCTGCGACGGTGAGCTTGGAGTGGAGACCTCAACTTTGCCCTTATCGGCAGGGTCCGATTCCGCCTTGTGCTCCTCATTCGCGTTGTCGTCCGCGTCAGTTCCCTCCTCATCCTCGTCGGCGCTTTCTGAAGACGTATATTCGTCCTGGTCCTCCAGAGTCAGAATTTCGAGAGGGTCAATGTTCGCCTTCTTTAAGCTCTGCCAAACCGCCTTCTTCAGATAGCTCATGTGCGCTGTGGTGATTGTATCGGCCTTGCTGATGACAGGAACAACAGTGGTCTTCCCCAAGACAGTCCGTAGAACTTGAATATCGAGGAACTCATCCAAAACTCCAATCACTGGGGTATCTGTGGCTTTGGATGTTCCTTGGGAAGCGCGTTCAGCGGCAGCGATGTTCTCATCCAGACGCACAGGATCAAGAAGCAAGAAAGTGCAATGGATATGTGTATCCCGGAAGCCGGGGGACCGAATTACTTTCGTCTCCTCGCGCAAGGTCTCTTCGAATTTACTCTCCAGGAATCCGGTGACACCGCGCAGTTGAAGGTCCACGATATTCTTTTCCAGTCCCTGAGAGTCCCACAGGGTCAAACCCACACGCTCACCGTCAAACTCGGTTTCAAGGTAGTGAGAGGTGAAGCCTTCGTTGGCAGGTGAGTGGCGTTCGTATGCTTCGACTTCTTCTGGAGATCGAATGGGATGCTTGTGTGGCGGCATAGTTAAAGATTTCCTGAGAAAATTCAAGAAGGAGGTCTTGCCCGAGTTGCGAGCACCGATGACGAGGACACTACTCAAAATGTGAGCACATATTTCCAAATCCACTTTTCACGCGATGGTGCTACTCACTTGTAGGGTGTCGGGTCCTTGCGCCTCCGCATCCTGCGCGGGTTGTTGACCGTACTGATAGCACTGCTCGCATAGCTGTAACGTCCACGGTGGGTCATACTCTCCGTACGCGCGTAGGGATCAACTGCCTCTGCAGAGGTACTCATATTGCTGCGAATGGCAAGGTTGTGATGAGAAGCAATTGTCTCTTTTGACGGAGTGGGAACGCTGTCGTGCTGTCCGTCGCCCCCAAAAGTCTCGATGACCGGCGTCGGTGCCAGGTCGGGCAGACGAGGAGGGAATTGTGGCATGGGCTCGCGTTGCCGGCGAAGCTCCTCCTCCTGCGCCTGCGGTCTTTTTTTGCTTCTGCTTCCCGACGGTTTTCTTTCACTCAGCGGCTCAGTTGACTTTGCACGACGAAGAAAACCTAGAGATGATGCACGACGTTGATCTTTGAGATGACCGTTACCGTTCTCTGTGATGGGAGAAAGTGTGTCTGAGGAAGGCTGAGTCTGCCCAGGAGTCCGGGGTCTCGAAGCGGTTGCCATTCTTATTGGTGTTGATCCGACAGGCCTCTTCCTAATGATCACTGACAGGCTGTGATTCAGTTGAAAAGTGGGGAATCTGTGAACGAGGAGTGTCTCAGATATAGAACTTCTCACCAATAGTGGGACGTTTCACCAACCCTTTTATGTTACTTCAAAATGACAGTGGTTTGTCCCTGATGTAATTTTAGATGTGTTAAAACTGCAGAGGCGCCTGCAGAGTAGATGCTGTATGCAAGTCAGCCAGAGCAATCATCCGAATCGCGCTTCTGCTACACGATAGGAAGTTGTTGGTTCATCCTTTGAATTTATCGAACATTTTTACTCCTATTTCAGACCGACGTCACTGACCTTGTATCAATTTGGTGCCAATTGACTCTGTAATTAGCGTGCCAGTGCGTATTTCTCCACGTGGGAAATTGATTTTGGCACGTTCTTGTCGACGTCTCTTGCCTTGCAGCAAAGTTTGTCGTAAACAATACGGAGTACAGGCCGGTGAAATGGCGTCTCTGAAAGCAGTGCCAGGTCAGAGACAAGATGCACTGATCGGAATCCTCTGAGAGCCAGGATACACGTCTCCAAGAAGCGAATGAATGAATGATAAGAAACCCAACTGAGTAGGGATCAGGAGGGTTCGATTTTAAATGACGTCCACCAGCCCAGCAAGTGTTTTGTCGAAACCAGCCCCAAGTCTCTGCTGCAGGAGGGAAATATGGAGAAAAGAGCGATTGTAAGTTTTAACAAGAGATTTCGGATTCTGCTGATGAAGCTTCCTCCTTTAATCTCGAATTTTCCTTTTGGTTTTTTCTTTTTTTTAGGATTTTTTTCTTCGTTTTTGTGTGCCTTCCTTGAGGTCAAAACGAAGCGGATGATACCTGCTCACAGCGTCCGACTGATGCGGCGCTTGGATAGAAAAGAAAGATCCAAGAGAAAGAAAGAGGGTTGGAAGGATAGAAAAGAGAAAGGAGGTTTACAGGACAAGAATGAATTGAGATGGAGCAAATCGACGGCGCCCCAGACTGATGATGATCAGCCCAAAAGCACAGAGCGTGATAACGGTCTCTTCTTACCAAAAAGGCTCCCACCTTAGATAGTTACCTATCCGCTCCTCTTTTGTCCAGTTCAGAACTCTGGGTTTTGCTCTACAAGCATGTACAAAGCTTGCCATTGTTACTCTACATTTACGTCTTCAATCATCCTCTAGATAAGCCCTTTGGTTGTCCAGCGCGTCTAACTGTAGTTTTTTACTTTTCTCTCTCTTTCAACCAGCTAATGTCATTGAGGAACTTTTGAGCTCGACTAGATTCAGGGGCAGTAGATACCTAGCAAATAATAATCTCACCAGGGGCTCGACTTTCGAGCCTCCCCACTCAGACGAACCTACTGGCTAAGATTTAGGTTCCGTTGTTGGTCCTGGACTCGTGGTCACCCTCGTCTTCGGTCTTAGTGGCTGAACTGCTGGAGCTTTAGCTTGCTTTACGGAGGGGCACATTGACTGAGCAATTTCATTCGTGGCTAACTAGACTAGGTAGCAATCACCAGCAAAGGGCATCTGAGAACATTCAGGGGCCACGGCAGTCGAGTATGAAATGACAACTGAAAATGACGGTTGTTTTCAGATTGTTCATGAAGGCTCCATAAATCAGAAGTACTCCGTTTGAAGAGGTGAGCGTTGTTACGAGCCACCACCTATACTTGATCTCTTTGATGCACCCACATCGCCAACGTTCATGCAGGTTGATCCATCAGATGGGGGACACTGTTGATTACCGTGACTATGTCTGGGTCTGATTTTTCTCGCTGTATTACTCCGTTCCTACCTAGTCAGGGGTCATTGCCTTGTCTGGTTTAGCTTGCCAAGAAACCACGCAATCCAGGAAAGAACAGCCAGGAGACATTAGGTCACGTGGTGCAGGGCTCTCCTCCTTTCTAGTCTCTGAGGGGAAGATTATTATTATGATCTGTCCAGGAACCCCAAACCCCTCTCTGATCCGAGTGTTTTGATTTTGATTCTGGTGTCGGGCCGGAACAACAAAGGCTCCTTCACACGGCCTTAGGCCTTAAGGTCTCGTGTATGGATCAAGCGGCGATGGAAATTAATTTTACGACCATGGAATAGCGCTCACTGTTCCGGACGCCCTTCGAATACTACCTAATTATGCCTTACCATTGACCATAGGAACCACGACGCAACAGACATCGAAATCTCTTCCAAGGCGATGAGGAATACTCGGAGAACCACATTGTTTGGACTGTGAAAGCCGCACATTTCTAGAATTGGCGCAATTTGCACTTCAGGCGCAAATCTGTTCCAGATCCCCTGTGTCCCTGTTGTCAAGCGATCGATCGCACCTAGCGGTAAATAAACAACCGGCAAGCTATCTGCTCCATAAAAGATATTCAGTCTTAATCTCCGTAAGTAAAGCATGCTCACATTTCGTGATATCACATGTTGTGTCTATGCAATGCCCATTCTACTATATACTCTGGGGCGTAATATAAGTGAATATCTTGGGACTTATGCAATCACAATCTTGGCCATCACAGCCTCCACCACGCCATAACAATGGGCCCTGAAAGCTTCAACTCTTTGTCTCCACAGTTATCAAGCTTTAAATCCCGCATTTCCCTTGCATTACCGATCACTCTTGCTCTACTGATGCTGTTCTCCATACTCGAAACGGGATAACAATGCATGGGTTGTCCGGACACACTTTGTCGCGAACAAGCTTCTTAAAATTCGGTCCATTTGGTCCCCCGCTGTACTTCTTCTGACCAAATAGCTCAGGCCCACCCGGCAATGCATCATCTCCCCACTGACCATTGAAGTTCAACCAGTTAACTGGATAACTGGGGTCATAAGGCCGAAAGGTCCTGCTGTCGGAATCATAGCTATATGCATAGGCGCTCAGTACGGGATCCCACAGCAACCCGCGGTCAGTGTGGTCAACAACAAATCCGGCGGGGAGATTGAGATGGGGAAGCGTATGGTCATGATCGCTGCGCACGGTTCATACTCCTTAGCATGCGCCGTCAGTCATGAGGGTTATGCGTTGGTCTACTCACCCCGCCATAACGTAAACAGCGTGCGTGCCTTTTGCCGAGTATGCATATGGCCGCTTGCCTTGTTTCTCAGTTGCGTCGTACGTAAAGGCTTGTCCTCCAGCATGCTGACTATACCAAATCGCTTGGGGGCTCCCATTCGAAAATCGGATCATATTGTGCTCCCTATGTTTCATGAGCTGTGCACAAACGCTGATGCTCTTTCGGCTCGACATACCAGTCCCCGACGTGGTCACCAAATTCCATGCCCAGGACAGTGTTTCCTTCGTTGTACCTTTTGATTCATGAGTCTGCCACGATCATCACCGAACATATTGGCCATGACTTACGCATAGAAGTAAAAATAAAAGGCGTCCACCGTCCCATTGTTGTGATCACGAATGATAATCGTTGAGGAGATGGCGCCGTTTGTCTTGCCCTGTTGATCTGGAGCGGTGCCCTTGAACCACGCTGGCTGCGGAGAAGCGTTAATACCTTCCAGGGATGTCAAGTAAACGCTTGTGTTGCCCAGACTGTTCAAGCTGTCGAGGTTATCAAGAGTCAAGGGTGACTGCGCCCCTTGGATCGGTTTATGGTCAACCATTGGCGTAGTATGTACAACTTGCTGTCCAATGTCGGAGGGCATGTACGGATCTTGGCTATGCAGCCATACAAGAGGCGCTACGCCGTTGTCAGAGCTCGAAGATCATATTCAATGGCTGCAAACACACGTACCATATTCCAGCACGAAACTCGGTATGTTTGTTGCCGCGAGATCTTTCATAACAGTATCTGCGGTCGCGACTGCTGGCTGTAGCATATTCCACGCAAAAACTAACGTCCATATAGCCCGCATATTGGTAAGACAGAGGCAATCAACGGTCTAAGTCTAGATTGTGCGCAATACCCAGTCATTGGTTCAAAATCATTTCAGAGAGGATAGTCATGAACGGCAGGCATTTTATAAGTCAGAATGGGTGCCGAGAAGCCAGGGCTGAATGATCATCAGTCCTCAGGAATTCGCCGTCCTGGCCACCTCTCAAATCTAGAGTACATATTATTTCACGCTGGAGTTGAAGCTAGAGTCAGATTCTGCTGCAGCTGACAGACCATGAGAACAGCCAGGAACCATCCAATCAACCTCGCGTGAAGACCAGGCGATCTGAGCTGCAGCTACAGTCGTCCGTCCATGGCTTGTGTCAATAAGTGGCCATGGGGGGTCATTCCAGGGCGTAAATAAGCATGGTGCGGGTGATGCAGTCAAGGATTCCAACCAATATTAGGTTGATTGTGATCGTCCAGTCACGCTGGCCTCGGGTTACATTGTGAAGGACCCTGTGATATTGTTGGTCAAGACGGCTGATTGATTGTGAGATGCTTGACTCAGTAGTTACCGTCGCCGCCACTCAAGTCATCAGATAAACTAGCCAGATGACCATCTATTCTCAGAAAGTTAAGGGTTGTATTACTGGGCTTCACTCACCATTTCGGCGCCTTCTAATTCAGGGTTAATCTTCGATTCAACCCAAGCGATATTAACAGGCAGTTACTATAGCGCCTTTGCTTTTGATATTTAAAACATAAATAGCCCTGCAAGCAGTTCTACGACAGCTCAACACAATTATCGTGTCCGTGAGGTCGTCTTGCCTGGCCGTTCAGTTCTCTGAATTGTTCCGATATTTACAGACCAACATGAGGATATCGATCTATACCTTTCCAGCGCCCTGCGCAGCCTCCAGCTCTTTCTTCTTCTCCGCCTCCTTCATCTGCTTGAATACCCGCAGATCTAACGGAATCCTCTCTCCAAGCCATGTAGCACGTTGCGTATGATTCCGTTCTTCCTCTGAATCGACCGTGTTTGGGTGGATCAAGGCACTCAACGGCCCCCTATTGATAACTAGCCAAGGTACAAACGCACCGAACTGGGCAGGTGTGAAGACGTTGACTTCGAACATGGCGACCGGATGCGGCCCTACTGGTCTGTCGAAGAAGGTGTAAATGCGAAGCTCAGGGACTGCATACTGTCAGTCATTTCCGTTCTTTGACTTGGAGGTAACCGGATTTTCGCAGAAATAGGATACCAGGGGAGAATAGCCCTTACATTCGCGTCTGATTCTTTCATGTAGAGCTCTGGCGTATGCGACTTGGTCTGGATTGTTCTAATTAGGGAAGATCAGTTATGGTCGAAGAAGTCATCAATATTTCGAAGGATGGCTAACCTGAAAGTGATAGATATGGATATCAAAACCTCCACGGCGACCTTTAGCGAGAGGGTCGGGGAATTCCTCGTATGCTTTACTTAAGATTCCATGCTGGGGATTCTTAAGGGACTTTCCATCCTCGGCCTTTTCACTATCATAGTCTCGTTAGTTTCCCTGCCTCGTGTCTTATGCAATATTCGGCCTGGACTCAATCCTTCCGAGAAGCCGGAGCCTTACTCCGTCAGTGGTTCGAGGCTTTCATAGCCCTCGAGTGGAGATGGGTATGAGAAAGCGAATTGGTCAGTCATTGCTTGTCAAGACGATAAAGAGATACAAATGAGTAACTGCGTGTAAATGTTCTATGTTTCGTTCGTTCAAGAGTCTGCGCGAGGCGGCGAGTCTCTCAAAGATCTGGTGATGAGACAAAACGACAGGACCGAGGTGGTTGTATATATAATAGAGGTGAAAGTTCCACACTTAATAATGCAATTACCAGAAATACGACGGGCATATGATGACTGACAATTCTGATTGACTAGCTCTTAGAAATTTGAGATGCCATGATGGAGAAATATGGTGCAATATCCCTGGTACACTCTGTTGTCTGTAATTCCGCACCCTGACAAAGCCGCGGAATCAACATTTATCTTGTGAGATGGGTGGATATTAGTTGCACAACTGGACAAAAAGCTTAGATATTACATTGATTTTCTTTTACATGTGAGTAAAATACATATCTGCAACTCGGATATGGTCAGACTCAATAATATGATATTAGGTTTGTCATTGTGAGCTCGTATGCCCTCAATTTGCTGAATGTAATCATGTTATATTTTGACAGGTCACCACCACAACTACAGTCCCAAGTAAAGGAGGCTCAATGCTTAAATTCTTAAATTCATGTTTATAATCATACAGAACGAGCTAACTTGTCCATAACGCCCGGCTTGGATGTATGCTATTCGGCCCAGCCATACCCATACAGAAATACTCCAACGCCCATACTCCGGTTGCTGCATAGAACCCTTTCCCTGTAAACAATGCTACCACGAAGCCTTGACATCGATATGTCCATCATCATTGACAAACTTTCCCCGATCCCATTCACGACCCTCACCTTTCTTTGACCACTTCACATCTTCAAGACTGCCTTCAACATCACCACCGCCTGTCGCTGTTTTACTAGATGTGCTCTTCCATCGATCAACGACAGCATCGTTGAAGCCCGCTTCTCGTAGTCGTTCCACACCCTTTTGCTTCCAACGAGCACGGTCGCGGAGCGCCTCGAGGGCGAGCCCCCAATCATCTTCCTCTGTTGTAAGACCTGCAACAGGACGCCGGGAGGGCCCTTTTCGTTGATCTTGATCGTCGTCTTCCATGTGGACATCCAGGGTAGGATCGTAGTCAGGAGCAAAGTGAGCGTCGATATTGCTCAAGTTGGCTTTATAGGCGCCCCGACCCCGAGAGCGAATCGCTCCCGAATCGCCGTCGACACCATGCTTAGGAGGTAGTGGTCCCACCAAATCCTCGAGTGGATCAGACTCAAACCCAGATTCTTTTCTCGGAGGAGATGGCGTTCGTCCTCTCTCACGTGCGGTGGTGTGTTCACGTGTCGTGCGATCATCTAGTGAGCTGCGGCGAGCGTCGTATCTTGTATCCTCTCTACCTTTCCGACTCCTGTGTCTGTCTGGTGACGGGCTGCGAGAGGGCGACAATGAGACCGTGCGTCGACGTCGTCTGTAGCGATCGCGAGAATTCGAGGCATGATCATCTCGTGGAGAGCGGCTACGTGAGTATGAGCGGTGGCGATGTTCTTTCCTTGAAGATCGATGACGCTTTTCACCGCTGTCGTCGGATCGATGGGTCCGTCGGTGTCTGCGGGACCGATCTCTGTCCGAGGACGCTGAACGACTCCTATGTCTTCTCCTATGATGGCGACGCCTTGATTCCCAGCTTTCTCTTGTGTCTCTCCGCGACTCTAAGTTGTCCGACGGGCGCCGGGATTGATGAGGGTCGCGTTCTTTGGTATCATTCGCAGAGGAAGACGAAGGTTGGCCCCGTAATTGTCGCATTCGTTCCCTGGCTTCCCTTTCTTCCTTCCGCTTCAAAGCAGCGTTATGACTGTCGGTTTCCTTTATGATATTGCGTAAAAATCTCGTATTCGGTTTAGGAGCTGCACCTGTAGGCCTGCGAGGCGATATACATCAACACCACGGTGATTACAATGGAACTCCACATCAGAAATCGTACCTTCTAGGCAAATAAGCACCCAGTCCATGAGACGAATATTTCATCGAGCTGTCACGGGCCTCCTTGGCTAATACTTCCGCAACATAGTCGTTGCTCAGTTCGTCGTTCGTTTCTCTGGTGTTTGAAGGCATGATTGCGGGCGAAGAAAGGAAAGCGGCGATTGTGCCCAAGGGGGCAATGGAGGTGCTCGTTCAAAATTCAAGTTCTAGCCAGCAGACAGTCTTCGCAACATCATTCAGACGAGAGAAGGGACATAAGCTGAGTGAATTGAGGAATTATAAATGGTTTGTCCATCCGCCCATGGCCTGTGCCAATAAAGCGAGGGCAGTGACTTCACTGCTGGCTGGGGAAGCCGCGCTAAACGGCAATCAAAAGCGGTGTCCCTTAGGATTGTCCGATAAGCTTTTGTTTACTTTTCCGTTAATGTACCAGCCAACGCGCAGTCAAGTGTATCCGTTCTGAAGATACCTAGCATTCTCAGGCAAAGAAGTCTTTGATATTCCAACTCAGGGCTTCAACATAGGATTCACGCATATTGCTGCCAAACGTATCTCATTGAGAAGGGACCGCCTGAAGAATGACCGACCAGAGCCCCGCTGAAACACTCGAACAGCTCCGACAATTGGAGCAAGAGAATGGCGACCTGAGGACTCGTCTCGCCATCATACGCATAAGCGAACCTATCTCTTCTTCAGATGCCGAAACATCCAGTTCATCACCGTCCAAGCGTACCTCTGACATTTCAGCCATCGATAACCCCACACCTGCTTCTCTGGAAGCAGATTTGACGCACTACAAGGTACGGATAAGATAGGTGATTTCAGCTCTGCATATGCTATATCCCCATTATATATTCTCTGACTTGTATGAGAAGGAACTCTTTTCGAAATTGCGCTTTTCCTATGTTGAGCAAGTAACAAAAGAAAAGTTCCTGCGAGCAATCGTGGGCGATCCTCCCCTGGTCGTCGGACACAATGAAAACGTAGAGTTGGAAGCGCAGTTAGCAGAGGTGAAAGCTGAGCTCAAGTCGCGCAAGGAAGAAGTCAGGATCATGATTGAAGATATGGAGAAGATGGGTCGGCATCTGGCGAGTCGTGAGTGCCTTTGCCCATTATGGCACGAAGCGCGCTAAGTATTGCTACAGGATACAAAAAAGTGCAACTACAGATGACACAACTTTCAACACTCCCAGAATCGATAGAGAACCTTGAATCCACGATTGCCGGACTGCGTGCGAAACAGGTCGCCACGATGGGCACGTCATCTTCCCAGAACCTTCCACTGCCAGCGACGCTGTCTCTCTTGGCCGAGCGCGAGGCGGAACTCGCAGCATTAAATCGGCAACTTGCGGCAGTACAGAATGCTCTACCACGCAAGACAAGAGAAGCCGAAGCAATTGAAAGAGAATTGAGTGTACTAGAGAGACGCAGGAGCGAAGCAACCGCACAAGCACGGGAGGCACAGAGAATGAAACAGGAAGGCAAGAGCGACGGCCTCGAAGAGTTGGGCAGGTGGTACAGGAGCGCAGAGGAAACACTGAAAAGTTTAGTGGGTGTTGAGGGATGAGACAGAAGGCCGGATGATTGATGACTGGATTTGTATTATGGAGGCGTCGCGATTCCATAATTCGAGTGTATATAGGCGAAAGCGGTGGTATTCTAAATTTACAGCACAATGGTACAAGTTGGGTCTCGAAATGAAGCCCGTAGGCTATCTAATTCATTGACGTGCATGATCATACAACATGATACGCTATGCTGCAGACACCATGGAACCCCTCATGATTTTTGATTTCCAAAACGAGACCCGTCCGTACTCCTGATTTTTAGTTAAGACATTTACTCCTCGTCCTCCTCAGCCTCCTCACCATCACCGCCAGCAGCGGCAGCGGCCTTCTTGCGCTGGACACGGCCAGGGCGGCCACCACCGTAGGGGGAGGTGAGAGCGAAGTCGATGTGCTTCTGGGAGTCAAGGCGAACCATGTAGGAAGGCACGTTGACGATCTGCTTGCCGACACTGTTGGTTAAAATAGGTTAGCATGATTTCCTTAGCGCTATCGCATGGTGAGCCATACCGGATGTGACGCTGCTTGATCAGGACGCGAGCGTGGTGGATGGACTTGGCAAGACCGAGCTTGTAGACACAGGTCTGCAGACGACGCTCAAGGAAGTCCTCGACACGGAGGGCCAGGACGTAATCGAGCTTCATGCGGGACTCATCGAGCACACCAATGCGGACCAGACGACGAATCAAAGCGTTACCTTCGAAAAGACGCTTGGGATCCTTCTCGTCGAGGGTGAGAAGCTCACTAGACCCGAGTATGTTAGTCACTGCTCTCAATTGTCGCAGGGCTGAGAAAGCGCATACCGAGCAGCACGACGGATCTTGGACAGGGTGAGCTGGACACGCCACACCTCACGCTTGTTGCGCAGGCCGTACTCGCCGACAATCTTCAGTTCCGAGTCACTATCGACCAAAGGTTAGGCATGGAACACACGACTTAAACAGAAGCACGCTTCTGATCAGTGGCCGGAGAGTACTAACAGACGAGCCGACTCGAAAGCTGAAAATCAATTAGCGTTTATTCTGACTTTGACGAATTTTCCATTTTTGGATATATCAGAAATACTTACGACGACGAGGGACCTTGTAGGTCTTGGAGTAAACGCGACTGTAAAGCAGAATCGGTAATTAGAATGATGCGACTTCATTTCGCATTTACCACAAGGTATAACTCACGGGACGGGGGCCATGGCTGCTGTTTGCGCGTTGTCGTGATGTTGTCGAGCACACCAAACTTCACGAAGATCGCAACGTTCAGAAGTTGAGGATGCTCTTTGGGGAGGAAACAAGCGAGGAGAAAGAGTGGAGACTAACCGTGTTGAGGTTAGGGTTAGGGCTAGCCCTGGCGGCGCACCAATTCACCCGAGGACGTTGACACCATCACCAAGTGCGGCAGAAGGAGGCATTTCTTCGTTGTCGACAATTTTTCAACACCAGCACCACTTACACCGCAAAAATGGGTCACTCCCACGGTTTGAGATCGGGCACTCGCGTACGTTCATGCGATGGATTCATATCGACGCTTTTTTCGCGGACTGAAACGGAGCGCTGACGATGGTTGTAGTATGCCTTCAGCCGCGGCTTCAAGGAGAACGGCATGATCCGTCTGTCGACCTACCTGAAGACCTACCGGTACGAACCACAAATTCGGACATGATAATGGAGAGATGTGCGAGCAGGATCTGATTGTTGTTTTCATAGGGTTGGCGACATTGTGGATATCAAGGTCAACGGTGCCGTTCAGAAGGGGTCAGTACAATTTCCGCCCGCTGCAATTACGAGGTGTCCGGAAGGCGCGGATTATGCGTGATTGTGGTGGAAAATTTGAGGATTTGCTTTACTGAAATTTTGGAACAGTATGCCCTACAAGGTCTACAACGGTAAGACCGGTGTCGTCTACAACGTGACCAAGTCCTCCGTCGGTGTCATCATCTACAAGGTTGTCGGCAACCGCTACATGGAGAAGCGCATCAACGTCCGCATCGAGCACGTCAAGCACTCCCGTTCCCGTGAGGACTTCATCAAGCGTGTCAAGGAGAACGCCGCCAAGAAGCGCCAGGCCAAGGAGCAGGGCATCCACCTCCACCTGAAGAGACAGCCTGCCATGCCCCGTGAGGGCCACGTTGTCGAGGGTGTTGCCGCTGAGACCATCACCCCCATCCCTTACGACACCCACATCTAAACGAATGGATATGGCCGATGCGGTTGTTTGGTGTTTCTGGGTTTTTCCGTCTATGGGTGGACTTTGCATTGAGACGAAGCGATAAAAAATTAGGGTTCTCAGATGTTCTGGCACATCTCCAGCCTGCGCATAGATTCCCCTCAATGAAAGAAAAAAAGACAAATCTTTCGATTCCCCCTTTGAAGAATCAGTACGATTTGGATATTCTGGCTCGAACGAATCTCTGATAGGCACATATTGGTCAATCTGCCAGACAAATTTCGCGCGCAATAAGTCCTGCGATATTGCTATTTCTAGGGGTAACACTCAATCAATTGCTCGGGTAGATATTTCGCAGGATTGTGTCATTCCACTAGAGATTCTCCATTCGGTAGGCGTAAGCAATTGTCATGCCGACTGCAACGAGGTAGCATCGACATGAAGCGGCACCTCTACCAGCGCCACCGAGCGCTGAATCAGAGTGGGATTATGCATGGGACCACTAGAGCTTAGGTACATAACATTGGAGCGGTCAAAGAATGATGCTATGAGACCTCATTCTTTGTAAAAATAATCCAGTAGATGTTCCTGCATTAGCCGTTAAAGCGGCGACGGGAAGAGATTGCCAATCGGCAGTGGCAGAGAGTTCCGCCCAGAGGTTCCGCCCAGGCAAAAATAAGCTATCGCCAAAAAAAATTGAACTCGAACGTATCTGTATCATCCTCGTCGCCAGTTACGCCTCCTTATTTAATTCGGTTTGGAATTATCAGCATCACTTTGTACATTACTTCTGAGAATATTCCCTCTTCATGGCTATCACTGCCTAAATGCTACTGCTTTCCGTGTCAGACCGATCTTTGCCGTATTCTCCGTCCCGATAATCCCCCAGGCCTGTTGATGCCTCTATCAGCCACTTCTCACCCCAGCTCTGCGCAGGCGCATCTGGAAGCAAGAGAGTCTGCAGAGACTCTTGGTCAAGATCTAATGCTACAGTCAAGGGAGACTGGCGGAATTCTACCTCAAGGGACGCAGCCGATCACACAAGATGTTGACAAAAAGAGCCAATCGAAGCCTTTCGCCCATTTTGTCGCTGGCGGGTAAGAAGAGATTATAGTTTTATGGTGGTTGAGATGGATCTCGAAGCTAATGCGATAGATTTCCAGAATTGGTGGAATGACCGCCGCGACTCTTACCTCTCCTCTTGATGTCCTGAAAACCCGGTTACAGTCCGACTTCTACCAAGCCCAGCTCAAGTCTCTTCGTGCCGCTCACCCATTGCCACCATCTAACTCGCTTGCTTCACTTCCACGGACCGCTATGATGCACTTTAGCGAAACCTTCCAGATCTTGCGCTCGATACACGTCCATGAGGGTTGGCGCGCACTGTTTAAGGGCCTTGGACCCAATCTCATTGGTGTTGTTCCGGCGCGTGCCATTAACTTCTACGTATATGGAAACGGAAAGCGGATACTTAGCGACTACTTTCAATACCACGATTCCAAGGAGACGCCCGTCGGAATCCATCTGACGGCGGCTGCCGTAGCAGGAATTGCCACAGGAACGGCCACCAACCCAATCTGGCTGGTGAAGACACGCTTACAACTAGACAAGTCTAACGCCGAGAATGGCAAAGGCCGTCAATATAAGAACAGCTGGGACTGTATCAAACAGACGGTGCGCCACGAGGGCATTCGAGGCTTGTACAAGGGACTTTCCGCATCATACCTCGGTGTGACCGAGTCAACTCTGCAATGGGTGATGTACGAACAAATGAAGATGTACTTAGCGCGCAGGGAAGCAGCCAAGCGTGCTGATCCCAATCACATCTACAATGTCTGGGACGATGTGGAGTTGTGGGGTGGTCGAATCTGCTCCGCGGGCATGGCGAAACTGATTGCTGCGGCCGCCACGTACCCCCACGAAGTTGTCAGAACGAGGCTGAGGCAAGCCCCCACTGTATCTGTGGGGGATGGCAAGGTTCAGATGAAATACACCGGTCTTGTGCAGTGCTTTAAGACTGTGTGGAAGGAGGAGGGTATGCTCGGATTGTATGGCGGTCTCACACCGCATTTGCTGCGTGTGGTTCCGTCAGCCGCCATCATGTTCGGAATGTGAGTATCTTTTGTCCCTGCTTGTACAGATGACCAGCTGCTGATATCATCACTTTAGGTACGAGGTGATTCTGCGCGTTTTCGGAACGACTTCATAGATTACCCAGGTTGTCCTCTCTAATTTGGAGCGCAGACAAGATTGTCTTTGAGCGTAAAACTTGTATTATATCTAACCGCCCTTTTTTACTGGTGTTATTATTGACTAGAAGGGTCAACTGCATGTATATGGCGCGATTCTTGGATAGTTGCTGCTTGGCTTGGCGTCTTCACTCTTCTCTCACATTTGATCTAATACAAGGCTGAGAAACCACTTCGTTGTAACTATATGGCGGGTTGGACCGGGGTCGGATCAGCTATAGAGAAGTGTTCTCTAAAAAGAAAGCTAGATTGAGAAGAATAAATATTATCATGCTATAGTCAGTAGCTTCCTTGAAGTTTTGCTCGACATATCTAATGTATGTACGGAGTACTACTACCCGTGAAGTTCACAGTAGCCGCACCGGCGTACAGTGCATCAAGTCATCATATGATTTAAAAAATCTTGCCCTCGTTTCCTCCGACTGACTAGTGAGCGTCTCTGTGTACTCATATTTCAGTATTGCTATATCATCCTCCCCTGCACCGGCTTATTAGATAGATAGGTATCTTGTGGATGTCTGTCAAAAATGAAATATATATCCAGGTACCCCTCCCAAGAGTGGCTTGAACTCCCTGGCGAACGTGCAACCCGTTACGTACACATACTTCAAATTGTATGCAGTAAGAAAGCCTATAAAAAATGATGTTGATGACTCATACCTGTGCCAAGATATCAAGTTTGCCTCATCAAGCGATGATTGCGTTTAAACCTTCTGTTTAATCTACGAGTGCACCGGATTATTCGTGTCTGATCGTCGGTTGCCTAAGTACTCGGCGAGGGCAAGGCTGACAGATCATGCCAGGGACCAGCGGTCAGGCACACAGCGAGTCATGGACCAGAGAAGACGGAAGACCGTTTTATGCTTCTAGAAGGTGAGCTAAATGAGAAACAGAAAAATTAGCATGATCTCAGCAGGGGAGGCGCAGTGAGGGGACTTGGACGCAGTGACCTCCAAGCGCACATGAACACCCAAAGGACTTGTTGCTGCTCGCTGGCTCGAGAATATGTAGGAGAGGCGAAGGAGAGTTTGACGAGGCCAAGCCAGTACTGAAGCTTGCAGCTTATGATTTTCAATTGGCGAATGATTATTCGAGCATCTGCGCGTTTCAAGAATCGATTACCCATTACTGTGATGATCAGTCAAGTGGATATGCTAGGCCAATAGGTAGTGTCTTGCGATACATCCGGCCAGAAGGTAACGTGAGCAAGGTGAAATGGCGACTCATGTTTGGAAAAGCTGTACCAGAGGGAAGCTATCCGTGCCGTCAACAGATAGCTTTGTACACGCTTGGAGCTGTTGCCTTGATTTGGGCCAATATTGCCCTCAGGATGTCCCTGTTGCACCTATTCTGTGCTGTATCATTCTTAACTCTAAAAAAGATGGAAGGAAGGGTTTCTGTATTTTGTCTTTTTATCTGACCTTCTCTTCAACATTATCCCTAGCGATGCGATGCTTCCTATAAGAAGGTCACCTCCCTCCGTGCAGAGGAAGCTATAGCACTCTAACAGGACTCTTCGCTGCGATACACACTATTTACTGAGAAAGAGCTCACCGGTATTGAATTCTCTTATCCTCCTGCTGCAGCCGACCCTACCCGATTCCTGTCTCTGTCGTGTATGATTATCCCAATGTCGACCAATCCAAGGTAGTCAGTCCCAGTTCTTTTCAAACTCTACCTCTCAGTTCGAGGACCTTTTCCCTTTCAGCCTTCTCAGGCTAACTGGGGTTTCTTCAAGAAACCAAATGTCTTACGCCGCTCAGCAACAGATGGACCTTCTCCATATCGGCTCCTGGACACATCGGTATGATATCACCACAGCTCCTCAAGGCATTCTTCGGTCTCCCGGCGCCAGAAATCCATTGTCACCTTTGCAATATCAAAGCAATGATAAAGCTGCTCCAATGCTGCGAGCTATGCTGGATCAGTCTCCAAAAGCAGACCCTTGGTCGCCAGTCACGATGCAACAAAAGCGAAACCAAAAGCCGCCATTTTGATCTAGCTTTCCAGCCTTCTTGTATACTGACATCGGGTCTTCTCCTTTCTATTGCATCTAGTAGGTCTTCTGTTTGTTTGATTAGACTGCTTTGTATTTGAGTGGCAGAGACCAAAAGCATTTTAGATATTATTTATCAGCCCCTAGTTGCTGTCGTTTCTTATACACCAACTTCCCAAAAGATACTTTGACTGACATAAGTCCTCCTCCAACCTATACTTCACCGAGATACCTATCCCAAGCTAGCTTATTTGCTGCACCTTGACCATTGTAGACTGGCTTAGAGTCAGGTCAGCCGTTGCCTGACGAGTCAGGCTGCGTAGATCACGAAACTATCGTCGAAGGATCTCTCATCCGACAATGATAATATATGTCACAGTACCTTGTCTCACCCAGAAACGCACACCGCAATCTATCTTTCGCTCTCAACCTAGTCAGACATCTATTGGAGTTCTGCAGGTCGTCCCGAGATCTATAGTCCATCTCTTGCGTCTCTTGGTCCTTGTGTCCATCCAGCCTTGCACCGCCCCTAGCGAGGTTGTCTCACGCCCAAAAATGCTTTGGGCAGTTTGACTCAAAGAAAAGCCTAAGTAAATAATTACCCATAGTGCCGCATTTAGACGTATAGTCGGTGTAGGGAACTCCTTCTCCTCGGAAAGCGTAATCCTGGGGGTCAGATATGTAGTTCGCCTTTCGGTTAGATTATCATTTCAGTGACTAATCTCTTTTGCTTCCTTTCTCTCATACAGATATACTTCTCCTTTTCTCGTGACGCTTATTCTATAATTTCGAGGATTTCTGAAAGTCGGCTTTTGAGCTTTAGTAACGAGAGAGCCCTAGGCATCCATGGAATATGGAGAAGAACAGAGGCTACATACTCGGAGTGAGGTGGGACCGTGAATTTAGGTTGGCGCTTGGCCCACAATGTACCTTAATGATGGCTCTTATTATTCCTTCTTTCTTTTTTTTAAAAAAAAAAAAGGTTTTGATCTATTTTCTATATACAAGATATTGCCCGGAAACAGTGGTTCCTTGTACCATTCATCTTTAGACCTGTTTAAAGATAGGTATGAAGGAGTTTGCTGCTGTTTCTCTAATTTTTCAGTAGCTTTTCTCTGTATGAACTTCCTGTTTCACTCCTAAGCCAATTGAACAATTCTTTTATAATAATGAAATCACGCAAAGGAGGTGATCAACCACAAAAGACAAAGGAAAAAGCAAAAGCATTCAACCCCGTAATCATCAAGTCTATTGTCCCAACGTTGAGAGTACGTAGTTGGATAACTGAACGTGGCCAAAGTCCAGGTTAATCCTTGGTTCTGGACCGTCAGGTTCGAACGAGAATTTCAGCGCCAGTAGGGGAAGTCGAATGCCCCAAAATCTGCACAACATGTTCTAGATGATGTTTAATGCTCCCCGCAAATCATGATTTCTTTTCTCCGCCACCAACCGAAAATCATAACAGTATTCAGTAGTAATAATGATCTGGAGAACCTTCACTTCAGTAATTCTTCTCAGCAACATTATGGCTACTGCGCCAACTGCGCTTGTGAGTCATTACATTACTAATTGTTTGAACGTTAGGCAGCAAATCCAGCAGTGGCACAGATGTTTCAGCTTCTCGATCCTCAGACCTCGAGACAAACCATTTACGTGATAGAATCTGTTGCGGACATTTGAGTCTGCTGTACCCGTAGCGACGATGAGTTGTTGATAGATGACGGGGTGTGAGAATTTGCCCAGTGTCACTATCTGTCTCTTAGCTCCGTCGGAGCCTTGGAAGCGCATGGCCTGCTGCCAAGGTATTCTCAGCAGAGAGAGCATATGCCTAGAAGATCCTTCGTAGGCTTGACCCGGTGAGCGATTTAGACGATTTACCAGCCCGGTTGAAATCAAAATTTAGCAGTCCCTTACGAAAGAGGCATCGCTCAACAAAATTGACTTTCTGTCTAAAGCGCTTTTATGATTCAATGCTACAATGAGAGGTCGCTTTGCCTGAGGAGTGAGGAGTGTGCCTCGAAAAAGCCATAATAGTGCTGCGCCATCTTCGTGTGGCTGACGAGTGGCTAGTGCGAAACAATACGGAGAATGTTGGCGTGTCATAGGTGGATTCATTCGACGATGTACAACAAAGAAATCGTCGAAATTGTCCACCTTTTTCTAGACCTCAGAATATTTGCGGGTCTGTTCGCCAGCTGTACTGTCCAGATGATCAGGATGATTACACCATAGTCCGGAATTGGAAGTGCCACTTGGCTCCCATTATTATCGAATTCCAGCTTCGAGAGTCGTGATCAGGCGCATCTATTCACTTCAATCTCGTAGGTACTTTAACTGTTGTGTATGTGTCCACGGGTGGAATCTAGATTGTCTTGGTTCCTTGGAAGACGGGGGGAACTGTCCCGCGCAGGGCCCGGCCCAGAGTTCCATGATCCACCATCGATGTCTCCACTTCTATCACTTCCGCAATTTCCATTCCATGTTTTCGCTTCACTTTTGAAGACAGAGGTGAACTCAGCCAGCCTCAAACAACCACTGAGGAAGGGCTGCGAAGCAAGGTAACGAGAAAAAAAGAATATCAACAGTCGATCAGACGTAACATGATCATTATTGTGTAATGCATACAAATGGCTTTCTACTTAGTAAGGTAGTTATGCTTGCAAAGTACTCAGTAGCTACCTACTTTGATACGTAGGTCAAGAAAAGATTGGCGTTCGGAAGTCGCGCAGCTGATGTATGCAATTTACAAGGTAACTTATCAGCCATCCAGTTGCTGAGTTCTAAATCCCTTTACTCTAACTCGTCAGAGAGCTCAGCAAGAAGCGAACAATCTTAGCGAGTAAGGTAGATACTAGGTAGCTATGGAAGGTACGAGCCAAGAAGTTTTCTGACCAAGCTAGGTTGACAGTGTGACCACGTCGCTGACGTTGAGCCTATGTACTTTTTGTCCCTTTAACTCTTTTGGGGCATTAAGGTACCTAATCTTAACCGTAATAAGAATTCTTGCCGTCTTGTTGGCTACCTAGGTAGGAACCATATTGAACAATGATCATCTGCACTTAAGGTTGGAAAATAAATTTTTCCATTGCAAAGATCCATTCAACACAATGTTTCCCTTATTAATTACTGTCACCCCGCATCCTCAGCCACACTCGAAGCCGAGTTTTGTCACCATGCCGAATAATGCCCAACCCCAGTCCTCCTAGCTCAGCCTGTAGCCGTATGTCATCATAGTTTGTTACACCAACACTTGCTTAAGAACAAAAATCATGCT